AGGCGGAGGGTGTGTCTCTGCTCGGGGCTCTTGCTCCACGCAAATATGGCTGCAAAGACGGACCTCCACCGGGGTCTCCACTCTCTCCCCTCTCGACCCCACTCACTGATCCGCGAGTAAATCCCTGAAGCAGTGTCAGCTGCTTATAACTATTCTTTTTCGCCATCACTCTTGCTATACTATCGCTAAACTAGATCGCTGATCCGTCTCAATACTACGCTATCATCGCTCTGCTACAGCAGCACGCTGTCCAAAGACCCCACACTCCTCCTCCTTCTCTCCACTGACTTATGACCTCTCCTGTGGTGCAATACTGCATCCTACTGGTGGTGATTTATCATTACAGGTACATTTGCACTATATATCAGTGTTGTGGGTCATTCACAAGGTGCGCCAGACATTACTGCAGCCTCCCGTGTAATAACATGAAAAACTCGTCATACTCGTCATGGGCAGTGAGCGTCACTATTCAACATGACGAGTTTTGTCGTCATGGGCAGTGAATGAGTTAAAAAACGTAGCCTTGGATCAACACAAAGAAACATACAAATGTATGCTATGCAGTATAAAGTAAAGTGCACAAAAACAGGTATTGATGTTTAACCCAAAGAGCAATTACAGACAAGACACGTTTGTGTAATTAAGTCATTTTTAGGGTAATTGTACATTGTTGAGGGCATATACACAAAAACGTTTGAAATTTGTAACTTGTAACTTAAAAGTGATAGGAGATAAAGACTTCCTGTAAATTACAGAATTATTAAGGATGGCCAAAAGTTGTATGTAGGGAATAAGTGTACCCATCTAATTAGCATATTATGACATCATATGGCGTTGGAAAATGGGGATTTTAGAATTTTCATAAAATGTGTCTCCCCCGCCCTCTCTCTCGTCTCCCCTGCCCTCTCTCTCCTCTCCCCTGCCCTCTCTCTCTCCTCTCCCCTGCCCTCTCTCTCTCCTCTCCCCTGCCCTCTCTCTCCTCTCCCCTGCCCTCTCTCTCCTCTCCCCTGCCCCCTCTCTCCTCTCCCCTGCCCCCTCTCTCGTCTAACACCAGACAAAAGCTTCTCCAATACACGTTACTGTCCCGGTAATGGCGGGAGGCACGATAATACATCTGTGGGAGGCACTATTTGCGGAGATTTTACCGGAGACTAGAAAGGGCAGGAGTCGCGGCGCAGCGCCCCGATGTGACTTCCAGGCTTGCTCTCCGCAAATCTAACCTGTCTCCGAACCTCCTAGTGACAGCCCTGACCCTGAGAAACACTGTTCCCACTGACTCTGTGCAAAGTGTCTAAAGTTAGTGTGGGACAACACTCGCACGCTTCCTTCGCGTCGCTATTTTGCACTGGTTCAACGCAGTCTTGCTCGAATAATTTCCTCCACCATAGACTGTATGACCACCTTCACCACACTCTGCTCTTCTTCTGTGGAGTTTTACGGCAGTGTGCATGCAGTGTTGTCTAGTTCTGTGGCGCATGTGCGTCCGTCCGCTCAACCATAAAACTACAAGAATGCGCCCAACTCGCGCGCTCGGTGACTTATTAATCGCGCGACACAACGAATCGATAACAAAATTTGTTGCCAACGCTTTTAATAATCGATTTTTATCTATATTATCAATTCGTTGTTGCAGCCCTAGTTTAAAGTAATCCATCACTTGCCCAATCGGGCAACTTGCTAAGACTGAAAATGTGTCCGTCCCAAATCTTTAGTTGCCCCGGGTATTCGGACAACCATTCATGTCGAGCCCTGTATAAATATTAGGGCTGTCAAAATTATTGCGTTAACTCACGTTAAATACATTTTTCTTTAACGCGTAAAAAAAAAATTAACGCAAGTCCGAATGACCCGCCCATTTATCCTTAATATCTCTCAGAATGCTGCGTGTGAGATGCATCAGAGCAGGTAGGCCCTCTGGGAACTCATGTTTTAAAAGAATACGCGCGTCACCGCGGGGCTGTTTGCTGTGAACTGAGGTCCGCCTCCTCCGCGGCCGCTCTGGTTGTGAGCCGCTCACAACAACACGGCTGTGAGTGAATGGCGCCGCGGTAACATGGTCATATAAGACCGTACACGCCACAGAACTTTGCATGTTGTGATCGTGTCTTTGCAACCTGTGCACGCAAATACACTGCGGAAGTGTCCCTGTCTTTTCCTGAAACTAAACTAAACTCGCTGAATTAAAGCTGGGGTATGTAAATTTCCCCCTTTCATTAACAGCTCATGTTGGTTTTGCCCAAAAGCAAAGGGTTGTGAGCAAATCTAACAGATTTAAGTACATTTGGTATGAATGACAATGTGGTATGAATGACATTTGATAATCTCGTTTAACTTCAATTGGAGTGGATTTGAAATAGAATGTAAAAAATGTGATTAATCGTGAGTTAACTCACCATTTCTGTGCGATTAATCAACAACAAAATAATCGTTTGACAGCCCTAATAAATACATATATACATAGAGATAGATACTTTAATGATCCCCACAGAAGAAATTCAGACGGACATGTACAGTGCCTTGCGAAAGTATTCGGCCCCCTTGAACCTTTCAACATTTCGCCACATTTCAGGCTTCAAACATAAAGATATAAAAAATATTTTTTTTGTCAAGAATCATCAACAAGTGGGACACAATCGTGAAGTGGAACGAAATTTATTGGATAATTTAATTTTTTTTAACAAATAAAAAACTGAAAAGTGGGGCGTGCAATATTATTCGGCTTTCTTGGCTTTATGTTTTGGATCATTGTCCTGTTGGAAGATAAATCTCCGTCCCAGTCTCAGATCTTTTGCAGACTCCAACAGGTTTTCTTCCGGAATGGTCCTGTATTTGGCTCCATCCATCTTCCCATCAATTTTAGCCATCTTCCCTGTCCCTGCTGAAGAAAAGCAGGCCCAAACCGTGATGCTGCAACCACCATGTTTGACAGTGGGGTTGGTGTGTTCAGGGTGATGAGCTGTATTGCTTTTACGCCAAACATATCGTTTTGCATTGTGGCCAAAAAGTTCGATTTTGGTTTCATCTGACCAGAGAAACCTTCTTCCACATGTTTGGTTAGGGTTAGGGTTAGACTTTTTATGGATATCTTTGAGAAATGGCTTTCTTCTTGCCACTCTTCCATAAAGGCCAGATTTGTGCAGTGCACGACTGATTGTGGACTATGGACAGACTCTCCCACCTCAGCTGTAGTTATCTGCAGTTCATCCAGAGTGATCATGGGTCTCTTGGCTGCATCTCTGATCAGTCTTCTCCTGGTTTGAGATGAAAGTTTGGAGGGACGGCCGGGTCTTGGTAGATTTGCAGTGGTCTAATACTCCTTCCATTTCAATATAATTGCTTGCACAGTGCTCCTTGAGATGTTTAAAGCTTGGGAAATCTTTTTGTATCCAAATCCGGCTTTAAACTTCTCCACAACAGTATCTCGGACCTGCCTGGTGTGTTCCTTTGTCTTCATGGTTCTCTCTGCGCTTTAAACAGAACCCTGAGACTATCAAAGAGCAGGTGCATTTATACGGAGACTTGATTACACACAGGTGCATTCTATTTATCATCATCAGTCATTTAGGACAACATTGGATCATTCAAAGATCCTCACTGAACTTCTGGAGTGAGTTTGCTGCACTGAAAGTAAAGGGGCCGAATAATATTGCACGCCCCACTTTTCAGTTTTTTATTTGTCAAAAAAGTTTAATTTATCCAATAAATTTCGTTCCACTTCACGATTGTGTCCCACTTGTTGATTCATGACAAAAAATTAAAATGTTATATCTTTATGTTTGAAGCCTGAAATGTGGCAAAATGTTGAAAGGTTCAAGGGGGGCGAATACTTTCGCAAGGCACTGTAGGTGTATCAAATTTGATTAATGCCAATAGAAATGATGTAATATACCGGTGGGTCAAAAATAGTGTACCCCCTATGCAGAGTCCAAGCCAAATTTAAACAAGCTGCAGCAATGAGGTAGGTCCATGAAAAATAAGCAAATCAGTGTAAGTGTCAATCAGAGCCAATGCGCTTAGTCCAAACATTTCAGTGAGCGTTTAAACGGAAGGGAAGAATGGGAGAAACAGCGCAAACATCACATCAGTCAGTCAAAAACTGAACAGAGCCACAAATGAACAGTGAGAAGACATTTTGTCATCCAATCACTGGTTCACCAGTTAAAGGGGCGTCTAAAATCAAGCTACTTTTTAAATTATAGCTCAGGTGTAAGGCCATTTCAATTCAAACAGATATTGTCCTCCACTGAACAGGACATACATCCATATTCACTACAATATGACCAAACCAAGACTTAACTATGAATAAAAGCTTGTGATAGTAGAGGACAACTGGGAATGACACACAGCCCCACAGTTGTCCACTGAAAGGTTACACCAGGGAGTCAAAAACATATCCTCCCCGTCGGGGAATTGAACCCCGGTCTCTGGCCCCCGCATGACAGGTGCCCTAAACCACTCAACATAATGGGACATTGCAAACATTGTGAAGAGTTTCACACTTCCAACTATATAGCAATAAACAGACCTGTGTCTGTGTGGTTTGAGTCTGGAGCCTGATTCCCTCTGCTTTGGCCAAAGTATATTCTATTACAGTCTAGAGATTGACACAAGGATTATTTTTCTCCTGGTAGATTATCAGTCTGATAATTGATAATAATCTAGTTTTAAATTCAAGGTCAGGAACGAATGAAAGGAAATGGGAAAATTAGCTTTAAAATGATGTATAAGATACCATGATAGGCCATAATAACCATATATCATCTAAGCTTGCAAATGAATACAATTTGAACATAATTGTGGACGGGGGGGGGGGATAGTCTTGCACGCTAAAGTTTGAACAAAAACTATGAAGAATATCTCTACTTTAAAAATAAACTCTTCATTTCCCCAGCCACTGGCCATTCATCAGCCAGCCATTAGCATTCACATATGATCTCCCATATCCCGGATGACAAACAATAAGAGACAGATGGGTCGTATGAAAATGTCAGCTGTAAATGTCAATTAAAGTGTACGGCGGTGCGAGGGGATGCGCTGACAGCTCTGCTTGGGTTTACGTGCGCTGGTTCTACTGTGGGAGCGCGCCCTAACGCAGTGCGACAGGCCGCTGCACCGGTATCGCTCGGCCCGCTGGGAAGCACCCCGGGGTTCCCAGAGAGAGCTCCAGACACATCCCCGCTGTCCAGTCAAAGCAGAGGGGGAAGACATGTGGATGTGTGATAGAGGAGACAGGACGACAGGGGTTGATGATGGGGGAAGAATGTGCATCTGTGGCAGGATTAACAATAGCATTTAAAAACACATTCAATCCAAACAAGCTTATTTATTGTTGCAGTTATTAATTTTATTATTGCGGATGTTATACTTTATTTCTATTATCACCATCATCATCTTTATTATAATCATTATCAATGTTATTATGCAACAATCGTATATCATTACTCATTATTATTATAATTTAAATGTTATATATATATTTATATGTATATGTTTAAATTTACTATTATATGTTTATAATTATTGTTTGTGTGAATGTATGTATATATGCATGAATATATATGTGTATGTATGTATGTGTAGATATTCACTTTGTCTTTCCTTCTCCCCCTCTTCTGTACATAAGAAAAGATTTCTGTAATTCCACATTCACTCTCATGCACACACATGCACACACTCACTCACACACACACACACACATGCGCGTGCGTGCAACGATTGCTTTTTCTTTCTTGTTGGTCTCACTGTCCTCTCTCCCCTCTTTGTATAGATTCTCCTCTTACGTTGTAAATATCACTGAAACTGATCACCTATGTTGTCTTTGTTGTCTATGTTTGTTTCTTGTTTGTCGTATTGTATGTATTGTATTGTATGTTTTGTATGTCTATTCTCAACAATAAATGAAAAAAAAAAAAAAAAAAAAAAAAAAGGATTAACAATAGCATATTAGTGTAACTGGTACATACAAATTTGTACTCTTTAGTTTTAATCAGGCAGGCAGTCATTGAGACATTTCCTGACATAATTGATGCAGCAAATAGTCTTCCTCTGTCTCAAATGATGACTGATCTTATGGAGTAGAAATTTCAGATGGACAACCATTGGGACAAGCCCCTATTGTTGAAAACACTTAAAACATGAATCTGCTTTTGATTGGAGTAGTAAGAACTCTCATACCTTTTGTTGTTATTCAAAACAAAGGAAAGTTCAAGTTACTTGGGATCAATATATCTTACTTAGACCCTGTCCACACGAAGTCAAGCTCAGGCCTAAACGCAAAAATACTTTATCAATCCAGTGTATCGTCCATACGAGGCCGGCGTTTTGGGGGGGTGTAAACGAACATTTTTGAAACTAGGTCCCAGAGTGGAAAGATTTCAAAACTCCGTATATGCCGCTCCGTGGTTACTGCCTCTCCGCAATGTATCTGAGACGCTTGCGTCATCGCCCCGCCTCTTGTTAAAGCACGCACGCGCCGCACTCAGAAAATAATGACAACAACAATGTAGCTTGTTGGTTTTGTAATCCAGTGTGACCCGAAGCAACAGTTCAACCTCATCGTCCTCCATACTAATGTAGTACCAGCTCGCCCACTCGCCATGTTGTCTGTTTACAAAATACCGCGCATGCCCACGGAAGTTTGGGCTTGATCCCGTCATTGCGTCACAGCGCCACCAACAGGTCTGGCATAGTTTCACAGCGTTTTCAGGCGTATTGACTACATTCATATGGACGCACACATTTACTGAGCTAACTCCGTGTTTACAGAAAAAGTTTCTGAAATTATAAGCGTTTTGTCTTCGTGTGGATATAGCCTTAGTTTTTTCCTGTTGCTATAGACACACGCTTAGACCAAAGTTACAGAACCTGAAACTTTTGTACTGAACTTAAAACACAGTCTAACCATTCCTTAAACAGAAGTACTGCTTTACACTTTCCTTTCATTTCTACAACACACTTCTTTTGCAACACACTTTCTCTTTCGCCAACACTCTTTCTCTTGCTCACTACACATTGTGTCATACAAAAGACACTTTGTTCATAAATGCAATCCTGTGTTTTCACTGGGAAAACACATCTATTCAAAATACAAAAAACACTGTGACAGAAAACACTGAGACACACACTTGAAAACGCTGATATACAAAACGCGACACACATCAGCCAGACAAAACAGGCCTCAGTTTAGCCATTTTCAGAACTTTTAAAGTTTGAAGGCAGGAAGAGCAAGAGGAAGACAAGGAGAAAGTTGTGGTTGAAGATATTTCTGACATTAGAGCAACTTTTGTGATCAATACTGGCCTCACACTGAGAGAAGCATGAGTCCAGACACAGCTGCATCATCAGGACCTTCAGATGGAAACATGTCTCCAACATGTACTGTAACTCTACTGCAGACTGTATCTATAGTATTTACAGTACTTTACTGTATCACATGTACTGTAACTCTCTACTGCAGAGTTAGACTGTATCTAGTTTTAACAGTACTGTATCACATGTACTGTATTGCAATTTGGCTATTGCTCCTTTTGAAAAATGGTAGTTTTGAGATACATACAATACAGTAAAGTACATAGTACTGTACTATTGAGATGTCACAGTACTGTGTACAGTACTGTAAAAAAAAGAACTAAACCTGTAGTAACAATTTGTGGTTGCCTATTTCTACAGAATGACTAGAAGACCTTCTCAAGGTGCTCCACAGCTGTTCACCAACAGCAGGAACATGATCCATAATCCCACTCACGTACAATTGCCTAGTTTTACATTAGAGTTTTTGTATTTATGTCAAGTATACTGTAGTACTGTGATGTACAGTATTGAGTTGATATTATTTGTAACCTTTTAGTACTACTGAGAACCAAAACAGTTCCATTGAGCTTCACTGAAAACTAACTGATAAACAGAAAAGTGAAAATGACTGCTGTGTTTTATTTAAAGTACTGTAGTGTGTTGCTTCCAATCTGAAAGTGTGTTCACATGATGCAAGTGTGTGCAATTTTGTCCACAGAGTTTCATTTTGACAAATGATTGTTTATTTTTGAGAGAAAAGATTGAGTTTTGAGAGCAGAGTTTGAGTTTTGATAATGGAGTTTCATTTTGACAAAGATGTGTTTGGTTTATGTCCCAGTGTTGTGTCAGGTTATCTTGTGTGTAGAGTTTTGGGACTATGAGCGAAATTTTGAGAAATGTGTTAAAGCAACAGGAAAAAACTAATAAAACAAAATCACACAAACACCAACCAACTTGTAGAATGTCAAATGACAAAGATCTTGCATAAAGACATTATGCAGGGTTTGTATCGATTTAGAAATAAAGTTTTAGAAGAGAACTTCAACAGGTTTCAAAATATTTTTTTTTGGTCTGATCCCCACAAATCAAGAAAAGACCATAGCAACGCCCTTAGAAACGTTTAAAAAAAATAAAAATCATACCGGCGATTCTCCCGCAGTGACGTCATTGCGGGGACCGGTGTGATCCGAAAGTATGTATGTCCTCCAAACTATCGCGCTTGTTTACATTTTGTTTGTATATTTTTCGCACTAAATCGGTGGATATTCAAGATGACAAGAAGATGTGTTGCAATGCACTGCTCACAGACGCACAATAGGCGCCAGACCAAAGGAGAAGAGGAAGCTTTGGACGGTAGAGGGAGAAGAGGAAAGAGAAAGAACACTACATGTGTTAGAGACGAGGATAGATCCATGGGATGGACTTTATTGCAGCCTCGGTGAGAACGACCAACGAACTTCAATGAGTTGCAGGACCCTGTTTTATTCACAACTATGTTCCTCTGACAGAGACTTTACCTTCAGTGGAACCACTACAGCGAGCAGCGTGAGGACTGGGACCGCTGAAACTTTATGTGTTAAGCCTTGTAGATTGAGCATTAAAATGAAAAGAGTAATTTCTAAAAGTTATCAAATTTATATTATACAATGTTTGAGTTTGAATACAGCGTTTGATTGTACCTTTGTGTTAAAAGGGACATGAGGAAATCCCTGTTGGTGTATGTAATATGTTTACGTGTGTGAGTGCTGTTGTCAGTCCGTTGTTGTTAAAGTTTTCTGTTGTAGATTTAATGGCGTTTGGACAGCACTTTTCACACTCACTCGCCCTAACCAATAGTTAATCATTAGTTTCATATTTATTTCCCTGTATAAGAGGCGTGTTTGTGTATTTGTTCCGATCTGCATCAAGTTGCTTTCTAAATGCCTCATCATGTCCTTTTCCGGGTCTGCAATTGTTTCTTCTCTTTATCCGAGGAAGCATCACGCTCAAACATGTGGCCAAAGGTGTAAGAATTCTTCTTGTAACTCGCTTTGCTCTTCATTCGTTGATACTCGGTTCATAGACGCAAGTTTCTCGTTCGCTATCGGAATCACTGCACATTTTGAATGAGCCAGTACCTGCTGTGACGTCGCACTTCCGGGTGTGAGGCTGAGACAACGCAAATGTATTAAAAACATAGGATATTTTTTGTTGGAATCTATTTAAGATTGGCATTAATTGATTGTCTGTCTTACAATTTTAATATCCACAAATTATTGGACAAATAATTGATTGAAGCATTTAGAAAGTCTTGTTTGATGATTGTGGTTTGGAAACATCACAACTAAAGGAGAGCTATAAGCAAGGTGGTCCTCTCTGCTTAACCCAGGGGTGCTCACACTTTTTCAGCATGCGAGCTGCTTATAAAAGGATCAAGTCAAAATGATCTACCTACTACAAAAATGCAAATCATATATTTATTTCAAAAAATATTCTTTATACCTACAATGTATGTTTATGTACATGCAAAACCGCATGAGCCAATATAGCACAACACAACACAATTACCTATGTACATTTTTTGTCATTACCCGAGTTTACTCTGATGACTTGCACTGAATTGAATCGGCCAGGGATGCATAGTCCGGAAAATTGGTGGTAACTCGCTGACAAGTTTGTCGTGGTTTAGCTTTCCTGCACTGAGCGCGGTTGTTTGCGCATGTGCAGTCACCTAAGTGTCAGTAAAACATTACTGAGTAAAACACAGATGTCATTTGACTGTGGTGCCATGTCCATGTGCCATGCCTGTTTTTTTTTAAATCCAAATATTTCCCCTCCTCAGTTTATAAAATAATTTGCATCCACACATCTGCGTTATCAATCACATTCGTAACATTCCAAACATGTGCGTCTCTTACGTCCTGTCCTGCGTTGGGGAAAAACACAGAAGTGGGCGGAGCTTTGATGCAGACACCGGTAACGGCACTTTTACAGTCATAGAAGACACTCAGAGTAAAGACGTATGTTTACAAGCACTGACCCCGTCCTCAGCCCTGATTTAGCCCTGGTTTAGCCCTGGTTTAGTCCTGGTTTAGTCCTGGTTTAGTCCTGGTTTAGTCCTGGTTTAGTCCTGGTTTGGTTGTTTTCGAGCGTGAGTCCCCGCGATCACTTTGCTGCTCTCTGATGTGGAGGATGTTCGCTGCTGCGAGCATCTCACAGCAAACAGTTTTTAAGGTAGTATGATCCATGCTTCAGTGATCAGAGGAATTTAGGGGGGTACTGTGGCGTGCGAGAACGCAAAACTCCGGTTATCTCCGTCTACACACAAATGCATTAACGGAGTTTTCAAAAATCTCCACTTTGCCCGGAGTTTTTTGTATATATTCGTTTAGAATGTGTATTTATTTATTTATTTAATGCGATCTACCAATACTACCTTTGCGATCGACTGGTAGATCGCGATCGACGTATTGAGCACCCCTGGCTTAACCCATTGAGGCCGGGAAAGTATTCCCGCGTTTCTCCCTTTCAAGCCGGGAGCGCTGTTGCGCACTTCTACCTTTAAGGCCGGGAAAGCGGTCTTTTTTTCTTTTTTTGACCTATTCTCTTCATTAATCAATTCTCTGAACCAATGAAATGTATCAAGATATACCTGTGATGAGAACAAATTCCGACTTTTTGTTGCTGAAAATTTCATTTCGGTGAAATGCGTGACCGCGGGCAGTTGTTTGCGTTACGTACTCGAACGTGATTAACATCCTCGTGCACGTGCAACAAGCTCCCTCCCTCGTCTGTCCCCCATCCCCCGTCTCTCCCTCGTCTCCCCGAAGTCTCCTGACGAAGCGCAGCTAAGACTCACTGAAAAATAAAGCTCAGCTACCTACATTTTCACTTGCATTGACAATGCATGTTTTTTGGGCAAAACAAAAATGTTGTGACCAAATCAAACAGAACAAACCAAAACAGTCGTGTTTTGTTTGTTTTGCTTACTTTAGAAAGAGCCTTGAGAGTCATTATTTGACTTTTTGGGCTGAGAGTGGATTTTTAATATTTTTTTTGACTTTTCGAATTCTTTTTGACTTATTGCATTGATAAACATGTGTTAGTCTCACATTGTTTTTGGTTGTTTTATTACCTTTCCTGTGTGGAAGTTGTATATTCTTCTACTGAAGTTTTATAATAATACACTGCATTCTTATTAAAAGCCACAAGTGTCAGCTCTCAACTTCTTTTGAAATTATGTTTCTAACTGCATAGGCCGAGATACCAATCATTTAGTAGACGTTGAATTTCAGAAAAACTTCAGGTTTTGAGGGTGGTTCTGAAGTCGGCCTCAGGTTTTGCAGGTCCGTTTTACCAGGCGATGCAGGCCTTAATGGGTTAAAGAACTGTGAGCTTCCAACTCTGGAGGCTCAGAGTATGCAGACAATGGTGTAAAGTAACTAACTTTAACTAACTAACCTGTTCCAGTAGCTCCAGAACTGCTCGTTGAGGTAGGTTCGGTGGCTTTGGTCATCTCCGAAGGATGCCTTGCTTTCGATCCAGTGCACAATGTGACCGTCAACAGCTGTGACACAAAGAAAACACAGAAACTGTGGCGTTATATATATATATATATATATTATATATATATTGACAGCCCTAATATATATATATATATATATATATATATATATATATATATATTAGGGCTGTCAAACGATATTTTTTTTTAATTGAGTTAATTACAGCATAAAAGTAATTAATCGCATTTCAAACTATTGGCAAAATTATGCCATATTTTCTGTAAATTGTTGTTTGAATGGAAAGATAAATGACAGCTTAGTGAACATATGTACTGTATTTGTTTGTTATAAACAATAAATCCATATAAAATGGAATTAACATTATTAACATTCTGTCTTTCTGTTTAGACTCAGACCAAAACCATTGTTTGTTACAGATGAGGGACATTTCAAATAGTCTGAAACGCAGAATATCCTTAAATCTGTTTGATTTGCTCACACCATTACTTTTTTTGGCACAACTAACATGAACTGGTAGTCGAAAGGAAAATTAGGTACCTCAGCTTTAATTTAGCGAGTGCACTTCGGGAGAAGACACGGAGGAGACTGAGGCTCCGCAGTCCAGCTTCAGCGCTGTACATATTGTGTGCATCGGTTACGCAAAGACACGTACGCACACGAGAGAATAGTTCTGTGCGTGGTCTTGGATATGATCCCATTACGCAGCGGCGTTCGCCGTGATCACAGCCGCTGGAGGTGGGAACTGCTGTCGCGCCCGCAGCTCATCATGCAGAGTTTATACAAGAAACAACAAGTGCTTCGCGGTCACGCGTGTATTCTTTCAAAACTTGAATTCCTAGAGGGCCTACCTGCTCTGTCCCCATCTTACACACGCATGTGTCCGCGGCATTGTGAGTGTTATTATGGGACGCATGGGCATGCGTCAAATGCGTTAATTTTTTTAACGAGATTAATGAAAAAAATTAACGTGCGTCAACGCGATAATTTTGACAGCCCTAATATATATTATATATTAGAGGTGCACCGATCAGGATTTTTTTGGCCAATCACTGATCATTAAAATTTTGATCGGCCGATACCGATCATTGCCGATCCGATAAAATATTGAAAATATTAGTGATAAATGAATAGAACTGGTTATTCACTTTATAACTAATCTTTCAAAACCATCAAGGTACTAGGTAGTATAAATAAAATGCCTATGGGATACTTAAGACAAAAAGGTTGGGAACCACAAGTATACGTTACAGAGCATTGAGATACATTAAAAAAATGCAATGAAATACAGCAATACTATACATGCTGCATTTCTAACCTGATTAAGAAGAGATAGTTAAGGCAATGTTTTTTATTCAGTAATATTAGCATCTCAGCATTTGCAGGGGTTTATTACGTTTATCATCCTGAATAGACAGTGAGAGTTTAGCGCAGCGGGACTACACTTGTACATGGAGCGCAGAGGAAAGCTTACGCTGCTTTGGCCAAAGCAGAGAAGCGCCTTTAATTTTCCTTCCAATAAACAAATGACCGTCTGCTCCGATGCGCAACTACGTAGTAAGTAACGCTAAATCTACGACACTGTAGGACTGTCTGCACTACCACTACACTCATCTTAATTCAATATTTCTGTGAACATAAATATTGCCTGACGGCAGCGGCTCGCTGCTGAGTTTGTTCGGTGTGTGTTTGGTGCCTGCGCGGTGCGACTCTGGCTCGTTATAATAGATCCATGCTCTGGATTGTCAGTGAGAATATACAGTTTGATGTCTGCCTGCCGCAGCTTTACCAGTCAGATATCTCCGTGATGGCATATTGAAGCAGTGAACATGAGCTGTTTGAACCCAGCGCTTTCCGCAACAGACAAGCGCTGGTGGCAGAGGGGAATAAATTCTATAACTTTTGTGCATATTTTGTGTCCTTTCTTATGTCATTACTGTGTGGTTGTTGCCGCTGTAGAATCTCCGTTACTGATAGCTGCATGAGTCTTTGTGATCGGCACATTTCACCGATCACGCAAATCAAGCCGTGATCGGCTTAATTATAATCGGCTGATCACAGAGGGGCAAAAGGGGCAAAAAAGAATTTAGTCAACCACCGATTGTGCAAGTTCTCCCACTTAAAATAATGACAGAGGTCTGTCATTTTCATCATAGGTACACTTAAACAGTGAGAGACAGAATGTGAAAAAAAAAAATCCAGGAATTCACATTGTAGTATTTTTAAAGAATTTATTTGTAAATTATGGTGGAAAATAAGTATTTGGTCAATAACAAAAGTTCAACTCAATACTTTGTAATATAACCTTTGTTGGCAATAACAGAGGTCAAACGATTACTATAGGTCTTTACCAGGTTTGCACACACAGTAGCTGGTATTTTGGCCCATTCCTCCATGCAGATCTTCTCGAGAGCAGTGAACACGGACTTTCAACTCCCTCCACAGATATTCAATGGGGTTGAGGTCTGGAGACTGGCTAGGCCACTCCAGGACTTTCACATGCTTCTTACGGAACCACTCCTTCGTTGCCCGGGCGGTGTTTTTGGGATCATTGTCATGCTGGAAGACCCAGCCACGTTTCATCTTCAAAGCTCTCACTGATGGAAGGAAGTTTTGGCTCAAAATCTCACGGTACATGGCCCCACGTTCACATTCATTCTTTCCTTAACACGGATCAGTCCTCCTGTCCCCTTAGTAGAAAAACAGCCCCAAAGCATGACGTTGCTTCACAGTAGGTATGGTGTTCTTGGGATGCAACTCAGTACCCAAACATGACGAGTTGAGTTTATACCAAACAGTTCTACTTTGGTTTCATCTGACTACATGACATTCTCCCAATCCTCTGCTGTATCATCCATGTGCTCTCTGGCAAACTTCAGACGGGCCTGGACATGCACTGGCTTCAGCAGGGGGAAACGTCTGGCACTGCAGGATTTGATTCCCTGTCGTCATAGTGTGTTACTGATGGTAACCTTTGTTACTTTGGTCCCAGCTCTCTGCAGGTCATTCACCAGGTCCCCCCGTGTGGTTCTGGGATATTTGATCACCGTTCTAATGATCATTTTGACCCCACGGGATGAGATCTTGCGATTGAGGGAGATCAGTGGACTTGTATGTCTTCCATTTTCTGATAATTGCTCCCACAGTTGATTTGTTCACACCAAGCTGCTTGCCTATTGTAGATTCACTCTTCCCAGTCTAGTGCAGGTCTACAATTCTTTTCCTGGTGTCCTTTGACTGCTCTTTGGTCTTGGCCAGTGGAGTTTGGAGTATGACTGTTTGAGGCTGTGGACAGGTATCTTTTATTGACCAGATGCATCAACGTCATCCAGTCACGTGATTGTGAATGAGCTTACGGCGGAAGTATTGGAAACTAGCATTGCTGCAAGAGCAAAACGGACACAACTCTTAAAAACGGAGCTTCCTCTCCTAAATCGAGAAGTGGCTGCTTCAAGCACATGTTCGATTACGTTATAGGTGGAAGTAGGACATCAGGTCAGGGCTCACAAAGAGTGGTATTTGGAGAAGTTAAGGATTGCCTAACTGGATGTTGACCCGTACCTTCTCCCCACAGTCTATTTTATCGATTAAATAAAATGTCTATTTTTGCCCAAATTCTCCCTACATGATCTTTATCATTATTGTTAACAGTGCATCCCCTCACACTGGAGCAGATTTATATGTACATTTTGCTGGTAGCATTAGCAATAGTACACTTTTCTGTGGCTTTTCTGTCTACAGCCAAACATGATACGTACTGACGGAGAGAAAAATAGTGAAACACGTAATTGACTTAAAAGATAAAAATGTCAATGTTGCAGCGCACATACAGGATAGTAGTAAGAGACACGTTTGACGTGTGTCATTGTCCTCCAAATTAATGGAAATAAAATAAATACAAACTTGTGATTGCTTTATCTTGTAAAAAGTGTTCACTGCATATTAGGGAGTACTTGGATGGGTCCCAGTCCTTTTGGTTGATTGCCGCTGGCCATCGTCGTCTTCTGTCTTCATGACGAGCAGGTATCAGATAAAAAAGCTTATGTCCTTGCCTGTTAGTATAATCAACCGCACTGAAAAATGTCACAGTTGTGGCTGTAATGCGCTGAAACAGGTTGTTTTGGTCAGGTGTCCGTAGGCTCGCAGTTAGACTTCTGCCGTCTGTCATGGAGAGTGGGCGTGGCCGGGACGTCACATGCAAGGGGTCAATACAGATAACCAGTTCAAACAGGTGCCATTAATACAGGTATCGAGTGGAGGACAGAAGAGCTTCTTAAGGAAGAAGTTACAGGTCTGTGAGAGCCAGAGATCTTCCTTGTTTGAAGTGACCAAATACTTATTTTCCACCATAATTTACATATAAATTCTTTAAAAATCCTACAATGTGAATTCCTGGATTTTTTTTCACCTTCTGTCTTTCACAGTTGATGTGTACCCTATGATGAAAATTCCAGACCTCTGTCATCATTTTAAGTGGGAGAACTTGCACAATCTGTGGCTGACTAAATACTTTTTTGCCCCACTGTATACATACATATCAATATTAGATATTAAACAAGGTGCCGCTCTGCAAAGAGGACTGTGGGCTGTGAGCTTCCTGTTCTGGAGGTTCTTTATAAATCCAGACTTTTAAACAAAGCTCTTAGAATTGTTAATGACTCTTCTGGGCACCCTGGAAAAGCCATGTTCCAGCTTCTTCCCTCTGGCAGAAGATATCGCTCTCTGAGATGCAGGACATCTCGTTACGCTAACAGTTTTTAATCCACAAGCTGTTATCAGTTTGAACAGAGCACTTTAATGATTTGCACTTGTTTTGAAACCATTTTAGTCGATCGATTTCACAGTGACATTTGTTTACTGTTTAATTTGTTTTATTTCTGTCTTTTAATGTTGATTCATGTCTGTATTTGTCTGTGCACACTGGAGACTTTTTGCTAATGTATTCCAATGTGGTGTTTTTACTGCAAATGGCAAATAAACTGAATCTGAATTAGTGCTAAACATGCTGCTAAACAGACTGGACCTGTTTAGCATTGTCTGAAAG